AGGCGCATGGTCCAGGGCCGGAAAGCAGAGCAGCGCTGCGGCCGCTCCCTGCCCTGCTCCCTGCCACCGGCTCACGGGGCTGCTGCGCCCCAGAGCTGCCTGTGCGGCTGCCCCTGCCCACCCAGCCCTCCCCCCCTCAGTCAAATACAGCCTCGCTGCCCCCTCCCCACCCAGACATGTGGCTGCGGGGCCCCCTCGCTGCAGAAGGGAGCCCTTCCCCTCGCTCCTGTGCATGGAGACAGTGGTGCTGGAGCTGCAGCTCAGTCTGTCCGGCCTGCTCTGTCCTTCCAGCTGGCTCTCTGCCTCCCCCGGTTTCTCTCCATCTTCACCATCGTTGTCCAGGGCCGCTGCTGCCTCTGGCCAGTGACTCCCCCAGGACGCGGTCCCCACCGGTGGGCTGGGGAAGGCATCACGGAGAGGCTGCCCAACACAGGGCTGCAGGCAGGAGCGAACCGTGGTGGTCCGTGATGCTGCTCACTGGTGTGCAGGGATTACAGCCAGGCTGCCATCAGCCCCTCCTGAGCCTCCATCACGGGGCCGAGCTGCGGATGCTGGGGCTCTGCTCTGTGCCCGTCCCCAGGGGGGGGGGGGGCTGCGCGATTGCTGGCAGCAACAGGCAGGGCTGGGGAGGGGAGCTGGGACGGTGAAGCCCCTGCCCCAGGACCTGTGTTCTGGGGTGAATGTGTCTGGGAAAGGGGCAGCTCCACAGGCAAGAGCCAGGGCTGAGCTGGGGGAAAAAAATTCCCCTGCGGTTTGTGTCCCCTCCTGGGGCCGGCGGCAGCACCTGACCCCAGAGTGCGGAGCAGCGGGATGCCGGCGCTCCTGTCCCTTGCTCCAGCGGCGGCTGGTGCCTGGCCAGTGAGGCAGCGTGGGCACTGGCATGCGGCAGCACGCCTTCGCTCAAACCAGTTTGGAGCAAACTTTTCACCTCGCTGTGATGGGGCTGGCACCTGCGCAGGCAAAGCGGGACCCAGGGAGCCCCAGGCTGAGAACGCGCGGCTGCTCGGCTCCCACGGGTGGTGCAGGGGGTTGTGCAGCCCACAGAGCTGTGGACCAGGGCATGGAAGAGCCGTTGGGGTGGAGCAGGGGCCCTATTCTCCTCTTGCTGCCTGGCGCTGAGTGGCCTCCTAGCACCTCTGCCTGTGGTGGGGACAGGCATCAAAGCTGGCCAGAGAAGGGGAGCTGGAGTGCTGGAGAAGGGGGCTGAGGTCCTCCCTCCCTGGTTTGGGTGCCCAATCTGGGTGCTGGAGTGCAGCTGGCAGAGGCTCCAACTCTGCTTCTCAGGAACCCTTCATGGTTTGGGATGTGTTGACACACAACCTGAACCCTCCCCGCCCCCATCTGCCCCCTCCTTTGGGGGGGGGGGCATCCTTAGGGCCTCCCCCATCACCCCCAGCCGCTGCGGGGACTGACAGAGGCTCTCCCGGCCACCGCTCCTGTACAATTCCCATTTATTATTTCAAGACCTCATTCCAGAGAAGTCCACTAACTCCTGAGCAACCTACCGGGCTCCCCCCAGAGCCCCTGGAGCTGAAGCAACAAAACCTTTAGGGGAAGGAGACGCGGGGTTCCAGGGGCTTAGAGTTTCCGAAAATAAAAGGGAGGGTAGAAATTCAAGAGAAAAAAAACCCACACCCCGCTCTGCCACCCCGTGCTGGGGGATGCTCCTGGTACCCGGGAAGGGGGTCCCTGTCCCAGCACAGTGGCACGGGGCTGTGCGGTGCCCCCCTGCCTGGCAGGGGCGGGGAGGGATGGGGAAGCGCAGGAGCAGTCCATGGGAGAGGGGCATCAGAGCTGGGAGTACAGGGAGTTCTCCATCTCCGGCGTCAGCTTGGCGTGGAAGGAGGCGATGCCCATCCCGAAATCTGGAGGGAGATGGAAGAGAGCCGTCAGCACTGTGGCCGAGCCCCTTGCACCCCGGCTCCCACGGGAGGCT